TGCTACCCTTCCCTGTCTCTCCCTGATTTCAGTCTAAGATGGCTAAATGCTTCTCGAAGTTTTCTATAGGATATAGTAATTATGAATCCTGAAAATATGTAGGCTATTTTTATTGAAATGAAATATTTAAAAAAAATGTATTTGCAAGGCATATGTTAAAAAAATTAAATAGCATTATCAATTGCTATTTAAAAATCAATTAATTAATATCTACATTTTAATTATAAATTAAAACATTAATAAATTACCTAAGAAATGGGTAAAAGTGATAAAATTATAACTAGTTACAAATAATTATTCTGAATATGTTCTAAATAGAACTGATGTACCACAGATTCCTAAAATGGTTGTGTGTTTGTTTCAAGCATCTTACTCCTATTTTATGTACTTTAGGTGTCATCAGGGCTTGAAAGAGGTGTGTTTACCTATCAAGGTGATATACATGGAAAAGACTTTGGAAAATTTATGCTCCAAAGACAAGGTAAGAATGTATTTTTGGAATTTTATGCTGTATTAGCTGTTTGGCCTTTATAAATGTGAAGGCATCAAATGACTGTGCCAACATCTTAATTGAACAAAACATATTTATTTTATGGAATTGCTATCATAAACCTTACAAATGTTCTAAAGCACTTAATAATTGAGTTGAAATATATAATTAAAAACCTAATTGAGCTATGTCATGGTACCATCTCAGCAACCTAATAAGATGACCATAGGATACTCCTGTAAAGAACATCAGTACAAATGTTCATGAAGTAATATATGATGATTGCTTTGCAGTAAATGACTTTTTCAAGGTAGTGAGGATGCCAGACAATGCTGAACCATTTTTTGTTCAACTGCATAAATTACATAGTTCTGAGTGTCCAGATTTATAAGGGCACTTTGACTGTTAAAGCTAAAGTCAAAACTGATTTTCAGTACTATCCAATAGTATGTTTACTATCCAATAGCTTGTTTATGTGCATGTTGGTTTGGGATAGGATTCTACTTGGGTGTCAGGTTTTTTTTTGTAATGAATATTAGACTGTGGTACATTACAGCTATAAATTCAAATATGCTAGCAGATGGTACAAAACTAGTTACTCTTCTCCATAAAAGGAGTCTCAACAGATTCCATCTGTACCTGTCATTATTTCATGACCCTGGAACCATTATAAAACAGTTTAAGTATCATTAATGTGCAGACATACATCAACACATTGCTGCGCAGAAAGAACAAGTTATGCAGTTGTTGCCAAATCTTTAGGTGGCATAAACTGTCATGCCTCCATTAATGTTCACAGAACTGTATTATTCTTCACCACCTCAGGATCTGACCCAAAGTCCTTTAATTTATTAATTTTGTACCAAATTCCATTATATTCACTTGCTGTATCATTTTAATACTTCCATGTGTATCCTGACTATTTATGCATGTGTGATCACCTCATTAACTGTGGTGTCATTTTTATTGGTTAGAAACGATGGATACATTTATTTCCTATTCTCCATCTCTTGCCCTTCTCTGTGCTGTGAGAAGAGGGCGGGGGGAGCTATCTCACAGTGCTTCTGAGCTTCAGAGCCTGTGCTCTCTGCTCCTTCTATCAGTGAGCAGGAAGGTTGTGATGAGCTGATTGGCTGCCTTGTACACTGGAGAAGAACAGAAAAGGTGGCTATGGCTTATTGTAGAGATGAGTAACCATGGACTAAGTACAGAAGTTCGGCAAGCCCCTGGCAGAAGTGCTCTATTTAAATTGTGATATGTTAGAGCCCAGGTGAACTGAACAGATGTTTACTGTTTGGTGTTCAGAGCCTTTCTGCACTGGCTGCTGGGGACAGTCCCACACACCTCTCAGGAGGCTGCCTGAGTGGTCCCTGAACCCGGCTGTCCCTCCCCCCTTCCCCCCCCCCTCCTGCTGGCCACTGTCAGCAGCTATTGGGGGTGAGGAGAGACCCTGGACCCATCTCCCGACAGCCCTTCCACTTGGGGCAGCTGCAGAGATACCCCAAAAGCTTTCTCCCACAGCCCCCACTCACCAAGCAGTGGTGCACTGCTGCCTGGCCCAGGCTGCGGCGGGGGGAGAGACCCTGCAGCCCTTCTCCCACAGTCTCCCCACACAGGCAGCAACTCACCACTGCCTGACCCAGGCTGCTGTGAGGGGAGAGACCCTGCAGCCCTTCCCCTGCAGCACCTCCCCCCCCAATGGGGCTGTGGTGTGCTGTGGGGCCAGGGCTGGGGTGACTGCGGGGACAGAAACTCCCTGTCTCCCCCTACCACAAGGCTGGCAGCGGGGCTGGAATCAGAGGCTGTCACTGAATAGTGTCAGCAACAGCTGAGCAAGCAGATAAGCTCTGCCTGAGGCGACAGTGCAGCCTTGAGCAACAACCTCCTGGGATGGCAGTGACCATGCTTTAAGTTAACCCTCAAGGGGATCAATAAAGTGCTCTAACAAAAAGTGCTTTAGGTTCGTACATCTCCACCAAGGGTTAATTTAGAGCATGACTCACCATTTTTTAAAGTGCTCTAAGAGTCATGAATGTCTGTTCAGTTATGACTTTAGAGTGTTTCCTGCCTGCTTAATGCCCAATATGTATAACGTCTGTACCTTGCCTTGGTTTCAGCATGTCTCTTCTAGTATGTTCACATATGATGCCTGGGCTTGATCTTTCTTTGGAAGGGACTTTTTTTTTCATACAGAAAAATTGGCATATGCTTATGTGGATTTTCCACTTCCCATCTGATTTTATCTGTTTTGGGAAGTAAAATTACATTCATCACAGTTTTATCTTGTTTCCATTGCAGTTTTGTTTTAACTCCCATTTTAATCTCAAAGGGATCTGTGATAGATCCATTTCTGAGGACCACCTCTTGCATACCATCAAGGAGCAGGCAGAGAATGGTGACAAATTTCGGTGGGTATCTGTACTTCAGAAGATCTGCCACAACATTTCTCAGCTGGCAAGTTGTGCAGATCATGTCAGTTGTGCCTCTTGATGCCCCAAACCCACACTGAGATTCTGGGAGGAGCTCTTCAGCAAGTGGAAGAAGATGGTTCAGGAGGGTTCTCACAATGATATTTCCTGAGGTAGACAGCAAGGCAATCTCTCTGTAGCTTTCAAAGTCAGATTTGTGTCCTTTCTTGAAGATTGTCACAATAATGGTGTCCCTGAGCTCATCTGGGATTTCCCCATCATTTCAGATCCTTAAGATGAGGGCATGAAGCTGTAATGTGAGCTCCTCTTCTCCCTGTTTGAAGATTTCAGCAGGGATTCCATCTGGTCCAAATGCCTTGTCATTCTTCATCTGCTTGATTGCTTTCTTCTCCTTGTCCTGTTGGAGGGATTCTGAGATAATATCTGATTGGGTGTTGTGGAATGGATTTGAAAAGATGCTCATAAACAGCGGAGTCTCAATGAAGAAGGTCTTCAAAATGCTTCTCTCAACAGACATTGATGTGTTTCCTTTCTTTGATCATATCCCCTCCATCCTTAGGTCTCAAGGGGGTTGATCCCTGAGTGCTCAGACTATAGACAGCTTTGGTGGCCCTGAAGAAACCATGAATATTGTGGATGTCAGTGAGATGTTGAATCTTCTTAGCTTTGTCTTTCCACCATTTATTTTTCATATTGTGGGTTCTCCTTTGGACCTTTGCTTTGGCTTGTTGGAGATATAGCATCTTTTGCTTGGAGTTAGATTCATGGGCAACTGGCGTTGCCTTAGTTGGGGGGGGAGCATGTGGCCCCCCTACGACCAGTCCTGCCAACTGGAGGGGGGGTTCCTCAGCTGGCAACCCTGCAGCCCAGGAAAATCCCCCACTGGTGATCCTGCAAGCCAACTGGATGGGGGGGTCCCCCACAGGAAATCATATGGTTCAGGGAAAGGGGTCCCCCATGGGCAATCATGTGGACTGAGGGAGGTCCCCTGGGTGATGCCATGATGGCCAAACACTGCAGCTGATCACTGCACTCATTTCAGCCGCTTCTGGGAGTGGCACGATTGGCTGGCGCTTGCAGGGGCAGCACCAGCGTTCCCACTTGCACCCCCTCCCCATCACCTAAATGGCAAGCACAGCCATCAAGGGGTGCACTGGCACTCTCAGAAGGTTCATGTGCACCCCCATGCACTCCGTACACATCACCACTGGTTGGTGTCATTTTCCAAAGCACAAAACGCCTTACATTTGCAATTGATGAACCTTCATTAAAGGTCATTCCACTATCTGCCACCTGTGGATGCACTGGGTAGCAGCACAGCTCTGCCCTACAGAGTTATAATATATAATACAGATAAAAGCATGGCTATGTATAAATCAGTAATTCAAATGTAGTGAGATCCACCACAGGCATGATATGATACTTTACACTATCATCTCCACAAAATGTCCCAGCATACTTAGAAAGCTAGTCTGCATAAATCTTATCTCAAAAGGACATCAAGCTATCACTTTGAAAGCCTGCTTGAAGATAATCCCTTTCATAGCCCATTGATAAAAATCCAAAGGGAAAGATAGAATCATAGAATCAATGAGTTGGAAGGGACCTAGACAGATCATCTAGTTCGACCCCCTGCCATGGGCAGGAAGGAGCACTGGGGGTGGCAGGGGTCATAAGACCCCAGCCAGGTGCCTATCCAGTCTCCTCTTGAAGATTTCCAGGGAAGGTGAGAGCACCACCTCTCTGGGAAGCCTGTTCCAGGCTCTGGCCACCCTTATAGTGAAATAGTTCTTCTTAATATCTAACCTAAACCTATCCTCCCTCAGCTTGTGGCCATTGTTCCTGGTGACTCCAAGGGGGGCCCTGGTGAACAGACTTTCCCCGAGTCCCTGCTGGTGGCCCCTGATAAGGTTGTAGGCAGCCACAAGATCCTCCCTCAGTCTCCTCTTGTGGAGACTGAAGAGATT